ACATAAGCTTAAGGGGAATGTTTCACACTTGAAAATCCTGAAGCAAGCATCAGATATGATGACACGAGCATTGATATGCGTGCTGTCGAGTTGACTGCGCGAAATTTCTGGTAAATAGTAGTGTTTGCTGTACCAAATATCGTTATGCACTCGTGGTTAGCCCTTTCTCGTGGCGTCATTGCACGTCTCGTCGATGGTCCTCTCCGATCCCTATCACCGCAAGTAGCTCTGAAGCACCGATGTCAGATTGTGAAGCAGGTCAGTGTTGGCACCGTACACTGGGCGGCAGGGTGGCTGCGGACCTGTGACCACTGGATCTGTTGCTGGAGGTGTTCACAGTGACAGACACTGTGAGGCTGATGCTGGAGGTGTTCACAGTGACCGACACTGTGGTGTTGTTGCTGGAGGTGTTCACACTGACAGACACTGTGAGGCTGTTGCTGGAGGTGTTCACAGTAGCTGACACTTTGGGACTGTTGCGGGAGGTGATCATAGTGAGACACTGTGGGGCTGTTGCTGGAGGTGTTCAGAGTGGACGGTGGTGGTGGGGGACGCGCGCAGCCACCAGCTGGTGAGGCTGAAACTGAAAGCTCCGGTATGTTTCGCTGGTTTGCAGTCGCGGCTTAGCATTGGACTGCCGCCCTTCGAGACGCATTCTCAGCCTTGTTTTCTCATTTTCTCAGCATCACTGGCATTGTCTTGCTCGCGTTTGGTCTTTTCACCCGCGCCGCACTTTTCTTTTTCGTGGTCTTACCCTCCCTGATAACCCACACCCCTTCTCCAATCAGCCTCTCTCGTCCATGGCCTTTGCCTCCCGCGGTCTCTGTCCCCGGCGCTCCGGACTACCCCACATGACCGGCCGGCCGGCTGCGCCACCGCCGCAGGAGAACCGGCGGCTGATGAGCCGCGTGTACCACGTGCAGCGGCTGGTGCGCCGGTGTCGGCGCGAGTGCCGGCTGGTCACCGACCGGCTGCACCAGCACGGCGACGACTACCGGGCGGCGGCGCTGCGGGCGCCCGCTCCGGCACCGCCGCCGCCTGAGCGGGCCGACGAGCCGTCGGAACCGGTGAGACTCGGACTGACCTAGCGGACGGGCTAATGTGACTGAAGTGATGCTGAGATTGTCGGCTTGTATACGTAGGGCGACGTGCGGTATGTTGGCGATGTGTTTTATTTCATTGGCGGCGGCTGCAGCAATGAAGGGGTCTCGTCGACAACCACGCGAAATGGCGAAGGCTGTGGAAAACTTACCCGAAACGATCCGGTGGTCGCCCGTATTAGACGGGACATGAGGCCTTTACTTTAAGCAAGTGGTGGTCCGGATATCTGGGACTATACCACCGTGGATCGTAATCGTTGCTGAGCACACTAACAGTGCGCATGGTCGACAGCATCGATGTGACCTGCTGAGCACACTCTCAGTGCGCATAGTCGATGGCATCGATGTGACCTACTGAACACACCCTCAGTGCGTATAGTCGACAGCATCGATATGAACTGCTGAGTGTTGGGATGCAAGGTATCTGCATCATTTCCCTTTATAAAGGGAACGTGATGCAGGGATTTGGTAGTCCGTTGTTTTGTTAATTTTGTGTGGCAGCACCGAACCACAGCTGCTGCCAAGATCCCGAGTCGTGTGAGTGAGGGGCTTAAAACATAAAACATCAATCATATTTGTTTATAGCGGGGCGAACCCGAGTGACACTCTCCCACGCGGACACAACATGGCGCAGTCGGCCGGACACGATCCTGCGCTGGAAAACTCCATTATGGCGGCGCAGCATCCGCCGGACGCCGAGCCGGCAGCAGCGCAAGTGGCGGAGGCGGCGGTGGCGGCGGCGCAGGCGCCGCCAGCGGTTTTACAGCCCATGCAGGCCGCCGCGGAGGAACACAAGACGTCCACAGTTGATATGCTGGCACAGCTGGTTATGCAGCAACAGCAGCAGATGACCGAGGTAATGACGCGACTCACGTCACCTGGGATAGCCGCCGCGCAGCCAGCGAGCCAGGTGACTCAACGCGCCACAAATGAAACAGCCAGCAGTGGTCTGCCGCGCCGGCGATCCACTGTTTCTGCGCCGCGGCTGCCGCCTTCTGCATCCCTGCGGGACTCTGATACATGGCGCTACCGGTTCCAGGAGTTCCGCGTCTCCGAGCGCTTATCGGAGCTGCCGCCCGCCGAGCAGCGGGCTACGCTGCTGACATCACTGGACGACGAGTGGCTGAGAGTCGTGCGTTTCAGTCTGCCCATATCCACGACCGAGGAGGACATTGATGTGAATATCACCGCAATGCTCGCGCATCTGCGGCGGCAACAAAATCCTGTGTTGGATCCCCGGTATTTCGATACCCGAGTACAGGAGCGCGGAGAGGCGGTGGACCAAATCTGTGCGCCCTCCGTGAGATCGCTGCGTTTTGTGATTTCTGCCCAGCCTGCTACGACGATCGTCTGCGCGACCGGCTGATGGTCCTCAACAACGACGAGGGGGCTCGCCACCGCATGCTGGAGGTGCCCGACCTGACGTTGCGCAAGGCCATCGACAAATGCCGGACGTCGGAAAATGTAGCGAACAGCAGCACGGCAATAGGCGTCTCGGCGGCGGTTTTAAAGGTCTCGAGCTACCGCCGGTCGCGTAGCCGAGCGGTCAGTCCTAGCAGCCCCAGCCCCAGCGCTTCGAGCACAGACGGCCGGACCGGGCCGACATGTCGGAGGTGCGGTGCGCGGCCCCATACCGACGGTGCAACGTGCCCGGCGGCGTCCCGGAGATGCCATTCCTGCGGTCAAGTGGGACACTTCACCGTTGTGTGTCCCACCGGGGCCGGTCGTGACGGCGGTCCATCGACACCGACGCCTGGCCGTGCAAGGTCGACGGGCGGGCGCCGGCGGATGTCGCTGGAGGCGCACGCTCAAGTGAGCTCGGAGCGCGAGCCGTCAATCCGACGCACGGAACGCGTAGCTGACATGCTGTAACGAGGACACATGGCCCATCGGACCCCGCGTGCGCCTGCAGCTGCGCCGCGCGGACGGCGGCGTGTCGGAGACGGAAAGGACGCCGGACACAGGAGCTGAGACCTCAGCCCAACGGCTTCGCAGCGCGGAAGAGATGGGCCTGCGTGGTGAGGACCTTCAGCCGCCAGTCACCCGTCTGCTGAACGCCGACAACCGGGAAATGGAGTGTGTCGGCACCGGCAGCGTCACACTGCAGCTGGGTGACGTCATCAGGACAGTGGATGTGTCCGTGATTCGCAGTCTGCACAGCCCTCTGCTGTCCTGGCACGACTGCATGGAGCTCAGCATACTCCCTCCGAGCTTCCCGGCGCAGATTCCATAGGTCAGCAGCGGCCCGCCGCGCCAGCCGACGCCGGATCAGCATGTCATCGGATCAGCATGTCACCGGATCAGCATGTCACCGCTGTGTCACTGCCCGTGGCGCCCTCTCCGCTGGCCGCCGGGTACCAGCGCTCGTTACCGGGGAGAAGGAGGGCCGACGGTGTCAGTGGCGGCGGCGCACGGCGCCGCGCAAGAGGCTGCGTCGAAGCAGCGAGAAACCGGCTCGTCCTCAGACACAGAAATGGAACTGCCCATAACACAGTCGGAGCGCCTCGCTGGGACCGGCAGCGCCGCCGCGACACAGTAGAAAACCAGCGGCGACGCCCCGGCACAGCAGAGCACCGGTGGCGCCACCTGGACACACCAGGAGACAGGTGGCGCCTCCTCAGTACGGCAGCGAACCGGTGGCGCCCCCTCGGCACAGCAACGGAAACGTCAGTTTGAAGCACTGAAGGCTGAGTTTCCCCGCGTCTTCGACGTCCAATCACCTCCGCGGAAGATGTTGGGGGAGCCGATGCGAATAGAGCTGACGGATGAAGCCGCTCTCCATGCGCTATCGACGGCGAGGAACATTCCGTTCTGCTGGAGACAGGATGTCAGAGAGCAGCTGGACGACCTCCTCATCAAGGACATCTTAGAGCCCATCGAGCACCCCACGCCATGGTGTCACCCCATCGTCCCGGTGGTGAAGCGGTCGCCAGGTGGTGCAGTGTCAGGCTGCCGCCTCACGGTCGATTTTACGAAGCTGAATCGATTTGTGAAGAGGCCGGCCCACCCAGTCCGCTCGTCGCAGGACGCGGTGGCGGCAATACGCCTGGGGCGACTGTCTTCACCAGGCTGGACAGCAAGGCCGGCTACCACCAGGTCCTTCATCACGCCGTGCGGCAGTTTCAGGTACAAGAGGGCCCCAATGGGCGTCGTCAGCTCAGGCGATGTGTACGACCAGCGCGGCGATGCCTCCCTGGGAGACATCCCGAACACCTGCAAAGTGGTGGGCGATGTGCTCGCCTATGACTCTGAGTATGAAGCCCATGTGGTGCACGTACGCCAAATACTTCAGCGGTGTGAAGAGCATGGGAGCACCCTGAACCCGAAAAAATGCTGCTTCGCGGAGGCGGAAGTAGAATTCTGCGGCTACAGCATCAGCTCGACTGGCTACATCGCTGACGATAAGAAGATTCGGGCCATCAAGTCGTTCCTGAAGCCCAGCAACACCACTGGCATGAGATCGTTCCTCGGCCTGGTCAACCATCTGGGGTCCTTCTCCTCTGACGTCACCGCGGCCGCGGAGCCGCTCCGTCAGCTGATCGGCCGCGGAACGCCTGACTATGGACGCTGGCCCACGATCAGGCGTTCGCCGCCGTGAAGATGGCGCTGCTGTCGCCTACCGTGCTGGACTTCTTCAATCCGCTGCGGCGGATGGTGCTGGAGACTGACGCAGCCGGCGCCGGCGGTGTCGGCTTCCGTCTCCGTCAGCTGGACAGGGCCTCAGGACAGGGCAGGCCTCCGTCAGCCGGTGGCGCCTGATCCAGTGCGGATCTCGGTTCCGGAGACTCGGTTCTCGGTTCCGTGACTCCGTCGGAGCCGGAGTCACGCTACGCAGTGACTGAACTCGAGCTGCCGGCCCTGGCGTGGACGTGCCGAAAATGCAGCACATATCTCAGCGGTATGCAGCAGTTCGAGGTGATGGCGGATCATCGGCCATTGATCCCCATTCTCAACTCGAAGAGCATGGCGGATATCGAGAACCCTCGTCTACAGTGTCTCCGGGAGCGACTCAGCCAGTTCAACTTCGTCGCCACCTGGCGGCAGGGAAAGCTGCACGCCATCCCAGACGCGCTGTCTCGAGCGCTCGTCGATGGCCCAACACCTGACGACGAGGAAGCGGAACAAGACGTCAGTCACCAGATCGCCAGCATGGTCGCCAGGCTTATCAGTGGCGTCACCGTCACCGACGGTGGCGCCAGCCCGTTCCGGGACGTCCTACTGTCAGAACTCCGCGCCGCCGCCGAGGAGGACCCGGAGATGATTGCGCTGAAAGATGCCATCTTGACCGGTTTTTCAGGGCATCGGACGCAGCTGCACCCGCTGCTGGGCCCCTACTGGGGCCTCCGAGACTGTTTGGTGGTGGATGACGGCCTGGTGGTGTGCGGCCGGCGGTTGGTAATACCGCAGTGCCTCCGTCGCGCTACTCTCCAGAAGCTTCACGCCAGCCACCAGGGAGTCGAGCGGACCACGAGGCGGGCACGGCAGGCGGTGTACTGGCCCCGGGTGGACCAGGACATGGCGAACTTCATCGGCGCCTGCAGCAAATGTCAACTGCACCTGCACAGTCAGCAGAAAGAGCCCATGATGACAGAGAAGGCACCCTCGCGAGTGTTTGAAGCCGTCTCCGTGGACTACTTTGCCTGGGCCTGACGGACCTTCCTGGTCTACGTTGACCGCCTCTCTGGCTGGCCATTCGTGTCACGCGTAACCGGAGAGGCGTCGACCAGATACCTGGTGAGCAGCCTACGCGGCATGTTCGCCGCCACCGGTGTACCGGCCTACATCAGGACCGACGTAGGGCCCCAGTTCAGCGCCCGGCTCACCCGTGAGTTCTTCCGCCGGTGGGGTGTGGACCATCAACAGTCGACACCTCACTACCCGCAGTCCAACGGGCACGCGGAGGCGGCCGTCAAGGCCGTCAAGCGGCTCGTGCAGAAAACCACCGCCGGCGGAGACCTGAACACGGACGATTTCACAGCCGGTCTGCAGGAGCTGAGAAACACCCCGCGGACGGACGGCCGATCTCCAGAGCAGATCTTGTACGGTCACCCGCTGCGCTCAGCCGTCCCGGTGCACCACCGTACGTTCGCTCAACGCTGGCGGGAGGCCGCGGACGACTGCGATACCAAGGCGGCAGAACTTCTGGAGCGCTCCGTAGAGCGGTGTGACGAGTCGGCGAGGGTGTCACCGCCCGCTGCGGGTCAGACAGCGCGTCCTCATCCAGGATCCGACCTCTGATCTGTGGGACCGCACCGGCACCGTCACTGGCGTCGGATCGCGGCGTGACTACCTAGTCCTGTTACCGAGCGGCCGCATCTTCTGGGGGAATCGTCGGTTCCTCCGCCCGTTTCAACCCCTGATCGCCAGCGCCGGCAATCAGGAGGACAATGTGGCGACCAGCGACGGTCAGAATCACGGAGTGGATGGACCAGATGATGGCGCCGCCGGCGCCTTGCCCAGTGAGCACCTGACGTGCCCCGATGACGCCGGAGACGAGGACCGCTCAGCGCTGAGCACCGCCGAGCCAGAGGTCGCCAATGACAGCGCGTCGCCCAGCTTGGCCGGTGGCCTGCCACGACCCGCGGCTGACACACCCGCCAACACCGCGCCGGTGCCTATGTTGTCGCCGCCACCTCCGCTCCGATCCCTTCGACCCACTCGGCGGCAATCTGTCCGGTGGTCAAACCCGGTGTCGAGCACGGTTAGGTCTCCGGACGTCGCTGCCGCCTCGCCACCCAGCTTAGCCGGCGACCAGACGCGCGTTGCGTCTGACATCACGCCCATCACGGACCCGGCGCCTGCGACGTCACCGCCGCCCCCGCCCCCGCCCCCGCCCCAGCGGGAGCCGAGGATTCGCCGCCGACCACAGCGTCTGTCCATCGGGTGGTCAGAACCGACATACAGGTATGTGTGAACGACCCCTCCCCCTCCCCCTCTACGCATCAGCCGGCAGCCCTCGTGTGTTTCTTGTTTTGCCGCAGCCTGAGCTCATTCCGCCTAGTTATATTTCTAGTCGCGTTAAGGCGTTAAGCGTGAAGTCACGCTTATGTGTTAACCTTGGACTCATGTTAGAAGTCCGGCGTCTTCCCTTCCGCAAACGTCTTGGAGGGAGGTGTTGGGATGCAAGGTATCTACATCACTTCCCTTCATAAAGGGAAAGTTATGCATGGATTTGGTAGCCCGTTTTTTGTTTATTTTGTGTGTCAGCACCGAAATACACTTGCCGTTAAGATTCCGAGTCGTGTGCGTGTGGGGCCTAAAACATGAAACACCAATCATATTTGTTGACAGTGGGGCGAACCCGAGTGACACTCGCCCACGCGGACAACACCGAGCACACTCATTGGGCATGGTCGACAGCATCGATATGACCTGCTGAGCACACTCTCAGTGCGCATAGTCGACAGCATCGATATGACCTGCTGAGCACACTCATTGCGCATAATCGACAGTGTCGATAGGAACCGCTGAGCACACTCGGTTTGCATGGTCGACGCTGTTCCGTTGTCATGTCGTCCACAGAACTCTGGCGGTCTCAGCAAACAGGGCTTGACGAAGCAGCTGGCTGCCAATTGGAGTCCCATGTCTTACGACAAAAAGCAGGTTCATGGACGCTTCAAATTTGGGCGCCACCCAACAGAGAGAGTGACGAGCCAGAGCAGATGCCGTCTCCCTCCCCTTCCCCTCTCCACGCGCGGTATAGACGATACCCCAGGTCCGGTGCGACGTTTAGGAGGCGGGCCAGTAGAGCATGCACGACGCAGTATCAGATACGGCACATTAAAGCGGGTGCCACCCATCCCTGTAGTATGTTCACACAAACCCCCGGAGTGGGTGCCTTCCCACAATAGAGCCGTGTGTTGTTGCTTTAGTACCCATCGACTGCAGGGGTCATTGCAGGACAGGAAATCCCATCGGAGAAGAGTCGATTGCAAGCGAGCTGACGCAACTTTCGGTTAGTCACGGTTGCTAGGCATGCTCGGCTAGAAACTGGAGACGATCTTCTTCCCTCGCTCCACAGATGCCCCATCTAGAAGACACACACAACTTCAGCTTTATTCACTTGATAACTGAAGACTGGCTCGTTGTCGAATTGCTTGCAACTATTATTACACGCACGACATCACCCTGAATGTCCAGAGTAGGGCTGTGAAGCATGCAACCACTTCCCTCTGAACTTCATTGGAACACTTTTTCACTAAGCTCGTCAACTCTCATTTCTTTCACATTGAGAGAAGCAGACCAGCTCGAAAGTTGTCGAGGGACACAATGGGTTTAGGTGCCCAGAAAACAGTGAAAGAAACTTTCATCAGTAAGCGTGATGACGTAGGTTCGTGGAAGAGTAACCTCCGCTGAAAACCTCACATGCCTGTTCAGCTATACTCAAGCACAGCCGCTCGCCGCCTCGCCGCCCTCGTCCGAAGTCCGCTGCCACACTGCGCGTACCGTTCGCAGATATACGTGGACCGGTACGAGCGCGACAAGCGGCAGTATACGCTCGTCATGCAGTCGCACCGGAAGGCGCGCAGCCGGCCGGCCGGCGCCGCGCCCTGCTGAGGTGGGGACGGTGAGCCCTCGGAAGCGGCGGCGGCGACCCTCCGAAGGCGGCGGCGGCCGCCCCTCGGTGGCAGCAGCGGTGGCCCCTCGGTGGCGGGTCGCGGGTCCGCTGAAGCCCGACTCCGCGGCCGTGTCCAGCTAAGCAGGCCGGTGGACGTCCGGCGCCGGTGGGCTGTGCTGGCTGGCCAGGCTCCCGCACTCTCAGGAGCGATGGGTGACCACTGCGGCGATGGTGGAGAGTCTCGGAGCATGCTGCCCGCCCATCTCGTGAAGCGCCCGGGTGCTTCCGAATGCCGTTGGGAGTGTCCGAGGCGCCTGTAGAAATAACAGTGCCGGCAGGGCGCCGCTGTAGCCCCGACTTGCCAGCGAGTGCTCAGGAGCGGCCGGGACGCAGTCGCTGTCTGTCGTGTGACGTCGTCAGCCCTGCTGAGTGGCGAGCTGGGTCGCTCGCCGCCTTACACGCCATGACGTCACCGCTGGCTAATGACGTCACGTGTGATGTGAAGTTCCTGGTCACGACCGCTGCCGTGTGGTAGTGCGGTCGGCTGATGTTGCTTTGATCTCGTGTGGGACAAAATGGCAATGTTTGGTGTTGCCATGTTCAGACTTGCGTCACGTTATGTCGGCACCTTCTTTCTCTTACGATTATGACAGATTCCGCCTCAGGGTGGGGTCTGGCCACCAGGCTGAGATGGCCACTAGATGCCGTCATACCTCAGGGTGGGGTCTGGCCACCAGGCTGAGATGACCACTAGATGCCGTCATACCTCAGGGTGAGGTCTGGCCACCAGGCTGAGATGGCCACTCAGATGCCGTCATACCTCAGGGTGGGGTCTGGCCACCAGGCTGAGATGACCACCAGATGCCGTCATACCTCAGGGTGGAGTCTGGCCACCAGGCTGAGATGGCCACTAGATGCCGTCATACCTCAGGGTGGGGTCTGGCCACCAGGCTGAGATGGCCACTCAGATGCCGTCATGTCTCAGGGCGGGGTCTGGCCAGCAGATGCCGTCATACCTCAGGGTGGGGTCTGGCCACCAGGCTGAGATGGCCACTAGATGCCGTCATACCTCAGGGTTGGGTCTGGCCACCAGGCTGAGATGGCCACTAGATGCCGTCATACCTCAGGGTGGGGTCTGGCCACCAGGCTGAGATGGCCACCAGATGCCGTCATACCTCAGGGTGGGGTCTGGCCACCAGGCTGAGATGGCCACTCAGATGCCGTCATGTCTCAGGGCGGGGTCTGGCCAGCAGATGCCGTCATGTCTCAGGGCGGGGTCTGGCCACCAGGCTGCAAGTCTGGGCGTACGATTGAAACGGTGGCGCTGTCGCATATGGGTACAGGGATGCCATCTAGCGGCGGGCGATTGTTTCGTGTGAGATTCGCTGTGTGTTGTTATGTTTGCACATGCGTTATTCGCACTATCGTTTTACCAATCGTATGAATGTTGTATTGTTGCCGATGCCAATGCTTCGTGAAGAACCCAGCTGCCAGAATCACACCGAAAAGGGGAATGTCGGTGTTAGAGACGGCGAATGTAAAATGCACGACTGTTTGATTACTGTGAACGACTTGCGTTGATTTCAGAAATAAATGAGGTTACATCCCTGAAACGATCTTTTTGTTCGTTTTGTTTTGTTTGCAAAGTTCTGCATATGGGGGTGCTGCCTGGCGGTGGCCTTAGGGCGGCACCGTCACACGTGTGCGGATTAATTGGAGACACGTGATTTCAGTGCTACGGTGCCCGCAGCTAATGCGTGTGCACGATTTACGCCTAACAAGTTATAGGACGGCGCCCCAGCTGGCCTTCGCTGTCAACTGAAGCTGTGTGTCCGGCTGGCAGGGACTGGAGGCTGGTGTCGGTGCGGACCAGTTCAGTGAAGCGTCGGCAGCTGGCCTCCTCTGACAGCTCAGATCGCGTCCTACCGCTTGATATAGCGGAGGAAACGTATCTGCACATCTAACGCTTGAGATATCGGGGCAAACTGATTTGTATATCTGCCGCTGGGATATCGTGGTAGGCGGATTTGTACATCCACCGATTGAGATATTGGGATAGTCTGATTTGTACATCTGCCGGTTGAAATATAGGGGTAGACATATCTGCACATCTGCCGCTTGAGATATCGGGGTAGACAGACATGTACATCTACCATTTGAGATGTCGGGGTAGAGAGATTTGTACATCTACCACTTGATATGTCGGAGCAGGCGGGTTTGTACATCTGCCACTTAAGATATCGGGGTAGATAGATTTGTTCATCCACCGCTTGAGACATCGGGGAAGACTGACTCCTACACCTGCTACTTGAGATATCGGGGTAAATGGACCCCCACATCTACTGCTCGAGTATATCTGGATAGGCAGATTTGTACATCTACCGGTTGAGATATCGGGGTAGACGAGTTTGTATGTCCGCCGCTTGGGATATTGGGGTAGACAGACTTGTACGTCTAACACTTGAGATATCGGGGTAGACAGATTTGTACATCTACCACCTGAGACATTGGGGTAGCGGATTTGTGCATCTGCCGTTTGAGATATCGGTGTAGACGGGTTTGTACATCTACCGCTTGAGATGTCAAGGTAGACGAAGTCGTTCATTTGGCGATTTCGTGCCCACTGGCTCACAGTCTGGCCCGCAACGCTGCGGTTAAAGAGCATGCCGCTGCAGGAGCGAAGCTGCAGAGACGGACACGGGGCTCACATGAAGCAGCTGAGACGGACACGGGGCTCACATGAAGCAGCTGAGACGGACACGGGGCTCACATGAAGCAGCTGAGACGGACACGGGGCTCACATGAAGCAGCTGAGACGGACACGGGGCTCACATGAAGCAGCTGCTGACAGTGACGGCCGAAGGTGATGCGAGCCAGGCGGCACAACTTGCCAGGCCAGTCGCTCCCAAGTGAACATGTAAACGTGCGAATGTACGGTATAGAGTCGATGGCAGCCGATTCTGAACTTCAGCCCGTGCTGGTGATGGCAGGCAAATCAGAACGGACTTATTCAGAAATACAGTTTTCAAGACTGATGGGAGAGATTGAGGATTCTGGCTGGACTTTCTTTAGAACATGGCCTACAGTCATTCTACGGCACACGTCGATCTCACACATGTATTTGTTAACAAAACGTAACAATCACGGGTGAAACTTTGTATCTCTTTGGAGGGCTATGACATCCCCTCATGTTGGTCGCCCCCTCCCCCCCCCCCCCCCTCACTGTCGGGCTGGGCTCCCGCAATATTGGAATGTTTCTCACAACATTGCGCTAGGTATTCAAGATAGAAAGCCTGGCGTCAACACCCGGTTTTTAAAAAGTTACTTAAAACGTTGCATTGAAAATTTGGCTGCATGGAACCCATGTAAATTTTAGCGATATATTTCTTTGTTTCCCAAGGTATAAAACGCATCGTAACTGAACTATTTGGCTTAAAATGTTTTTATATTATGCTGGCTGAACGAGGCACGAACACTGCACTTCATGAAACTGTGGATGAATGCAGAATTCAAGCTCGTCTTTGCAATCCGTCCAGTGCTATGCAGGTCTAGTTGAGCAACGGACCCCACAGTTACAGGGCAAACCACAAAAACACTCCACAGCATTCTAGTCGTTCATTTGGGCGGACCAGGATTTCGTGCGCGTCTCTGAAAAATTTGCTCCACTCACACTGCAAACCTCTCCTTGCTGTATTTGCTCGATGTGAATGTAAACATATTCAGCAGCTAGCTAGTGTTGTTGCCCTACACATGTATCTTCTCCATGGTGATGGACCTTGCTGTAAGTACCGCCCAAGGTAAAGCGCAGTTTCGTTTTGAACTTACTGTCAAGAGCCTAACTTAAATATGCGGACCAAAGGGGTTACGAGCCCCTTCCCATTGGCTGCACTAACTTAAAATGCGGCCAGGAGCGCCGGCAGTGGTTGGAAGCGAGAGAGCGGCACCGCGGTTAAAGGGAGCATCCCACCTTTTTGTACTTGTCACTTATTGTTATATCAGACACCTAGGACTTGATTAGTAGTACCAGCTTTCTTGCAATTCTTCTGAATAGCTTTGTATTTGAAGTAGGATTCCTTCCCTGCGGAAGGAATCTGATTTGACTCGCTGCTGACCACTGCATTATGAAAGCAAAACCTGTCATTTGACTTGCTTTTTCCAACGTGCGTGTTCTGTCCTGTTTGTAACAAGCTGAAATATCACATCGTTAGTGTAATAAGTGCTACGAAAGCTTGAAACACTGTTTATAGAAAATACATGCAAACAAGAAACCATGGTCTCGCGAATTCAATGAAATATTATACTATGGCTTTGATTTTTCCCTTATCGCGTTTGCCACACTTGCTCTTTTCGAGGCGTACTTTGGCTTTTGAACGGAAATGTGATTTGGACCATCTCACGCATTGGTTTAAACTTCAACCAATGTACTCCTCGGTAACAGGCCCTTACCCGCTGGGCCAACCAGAAACGTTCTTTTGTTAACACCAGTAAAGGTGCGCACGATCGTTGTTATGACGACGGTGGTCACCACTGAAGGGAAGAAGCGTGATGCTGTTACAAATCGTCGGCAGCATAATTTGGGCTCGAAAATGACTAAAACTAATATGCTTATTACGCCTTGACGGTGCTGCAGTGGCACTAACCAGTGCTCATATAAGGCGCAACTTGTCCTGAGGTCTCGCCAGGGGCGGATCCAGAGGGATGGGGCACGGAGACATGCCCCCCTCCCCCCCCTTGGACCTCGAAGGGGCCCATTGGCTCCTAGGAGGCTCCATAGCTGGCCGAGCAGGTGCGGTTTTTTAACACAAAACGCAACAAAACGGGAATTTTTAGACTTCCAGGCGATCAAGAACAGTTGTAAGGAAAAGTGAAGGGCCTATGGGAAGTCGCAAAAAAATCATTCAATGATTGGAAAAGCTGTGAACTGGAAGTTTTAATCCTTATTACACTGTCTAGCTTTTTTAGCGGCCCATTCTGTTTCCGGGGGACCTTTACGCCTACT